GCGGACAGGGCGGCCACGGCCGGCCCTTGCCGGCCGTCCGACAACAACTTCTGAACCAACTGACTTCAAATAGCATGACATGAACATATGAACATATTTACACTGAAAACATGAATATTTACGCAAAGGACTGAACTTTGGCCACGGCGGACGCACCGGGCGCCGCCGACGGCATTGTGCCGTTTTACGACCGAATCTCATATATCCTCGGCAATTCAATCTTAACTGAACGTGATTTATACTCTACTGAATAAATCTCATAAAAATGCTCGAGAACAGGGAACTTAACATATTGAGCAAGCAAGTACGGCCCGTGGTGCGCTACGTGCGCAACCCCGTCACCTTTGGCCGCAACACCGCAAACATGCTTAATCATCCGAACGCTTAAGATAAACTAAACATGACTTTGCATATAAAGGCTAAATATGCGAGAATAGTTCGGAGGATGTTAACTTTGAACATAACATGATCGTCACGGCTACGGCTATTATCACACCTAACACGCATGCATGTCAAATTAAAAATTAAGCTTAATAAACATGCTAATCTCGGTCAACAACCGTCGGGAGTTACCTCTGATGCAGCCCAAGTGACTAATCTTTTCGAACTCTCGTACTCGGCTGTGACCCTCCGCGTGTGTGTGACGTCGTGCGATGGTTTGCGGTACGCGCGACGGACTTCTACAACACTCGAAGAGGCTTATGTACTCCTAACCGACGAACGATATGCTGACTGCCGTGAAGGACTTCTTCTATGCGTGCGTCGATTGCTGCTTGCGGTAGCCTACGGTGCGCGAACTGCTTGCTGTACGTGCGCGATGGCTCGGATGAGCGACGGCGTGAGGAAAGCTCTCGATAATCACTCAAAATCTCACTAAATTTACTTACTCTAATTTATGAATGCAAAGGATGCTGAAGCTTACTATAGAAGAGGAAGAAAAGTGGATCAAAATGTCCAACTTCCCCCTTTTATACCCTAATGGCCGAGAGAAAAATTTGGAGATTAGCTCTCCTAATGACACTTGGATTTACTACAAAAATCCTTAGATGACTAAGCTTCCCATTTAACTCTCCTAATGCCACGTTAATATGCTTAGCAATGAAGAATTTTGGGTCAATTTCCCACTTAGTATAAGCCATTATACGTACGGCATTTGTTTGAAAATGACTAACAATTTCATACGACTTTTCTTAGCTAATTAGGATTAATTACCAATTAATCACCATTAATTGCTTAATTATTCAATTAAGAATAATACTTAATTACCAAAATTATTTCGAACATAAACGGTACGTCGAAAATAATTTCCGGTAATTTCGACTGAACTGACTGAAAATAATTAATTCCGAAAATTAATATCGGAACTAAAAATATAATTTATACTGAAATGGACGGGATATTACAATCCTCCCTCCTTACAAAATTTCCGTCCTCGGAAATTCAAAACGTAACTGAAAATACATGAACTATGTACATAGAACAAGGAAATATGTACATCAGAAATGAAAATCTGGAAAACGAGCGCGAATATCGGACTCCTCTTCCCAAGTAGCTCCGTGGCGATCCCACTGAATACGCTCGAGGGGAATATCTCGCTTCCGGAGCCGACGAATCTGATGGTCTAATACAGCTACCGGTCACTCCTCGTACGAAAGATCTGGCTGAACCTGAATATCTGAGTGGGGAATAACATGATCGGGGTCGCACACGTACTTACGCAACATCGATGCGTGAAATACATTGTGAATGCCTGATAACTCGGGAGGTAGGGCTAATCGATACGCGACCTCGCCTACTCATTCGAGAACCTCGAACGGACCGATAAACCGAGGGTGCAGCTTCCCTCTTTTTCCGAATCGCACTACTCCGCGAATCGGACGAACTCGGAGAAAGGCTGGCTCGCAAACCTCGAACTGAATGTCTCGTCGATGATGATCGGCGGAAGATTTCTGTCGACTCTGAGCTGTCTTAAGTCTCTGCCGGATCAATTCGACCTGGTCTGCTGTCTCCTCGATCAACTTAGGACCGAGTACTCGTCGCTCTCCGACGTCGTCCCAATAGAGAGGGGAACGACACTTGCGACCGTAAAGTGCCTCGTACGGAGCCATCTGAATAGAAGAATGGTAGCTGTTGTTATACGCGAACTCGGCGTACGGCAACAACGACACCCACTTGGCACCCTTGTCAACAACCAAGGCGCGAAGCATATCCTCCAGCGTCTGAATAGTTCGCTCTGACTGACCGTCTGTCTCCGGATGATAGGATGAACTGAACTCTAGCTTCGCTCCCATCGCCTCATGTAAGCTATGCCAGAATCTGCTGACGAATCTGGGATCTCTGTCTGATACAATAGTGACGGGCACTCCGTGGAGTCGGATGATCCCACGGGTATATATCTCAGCCAACTTGTCCAGAGACATCTTCATCGAAACGGGTAAGAAATGCGCGACCTTAGTCAATCTGTCGACCACGACCCAAATAGCGTCGTGATGTTCAGACGACCTCGGCAATCCCGTAACGAAATCCATCGTGACTTCCTCCCACTTCCACCTCGGAATCGGCAGTGGTTGTAGGAGGCCAATCGAACTCTGATGTTCGGCCTTGACTTGCTGCCAGGTAAAACACCTCCTAAAAAACTCGGCGACGTCCTTCTTCATACCTCGCTGTTGGTGTTATATACTTAAGCTTTGCTTTAGTGGATATTACACTTGTTATTCCTT